AGTGCTGTGTGTGTCTGGGGGTGCTGTGTGTGTATCTGGGGTGCTGTGTGTGTCTGGGGGTGCTGTGTGTGTCTGGGTTGCTGTGTGTGTATCTGGGGTGCTGTGTGTGTATCCATGGTGCTGTGTGTGCCTGGGGGTGCTGTGTGTATCTGGGGTGCTGTGTGTGTGTCTGGGGGTGCTGTGTGTATCTGGGGTGCAGTGTGTGTCTGGGGTGCTGCTGTGTGTGAGTTGGCTGTGTGTGTGTCTGGGGGTGCTGTGTGTGTCTGGGGTGCAGTGTGTGTCTGGGGTGCTGTGTGTGTGTGTGTGTCTGGGGGGCTGTGTGTGTGTCTGGGGGTGCTGTGTGTGTCTAGGTGCTGTGTGTCTGGGGTGCTGTGTGTGTCTGAGGTGCTGTGTGGTAGTCTTGGGGGTGCTTTCCAATGTGTGTGTGTGTGTGTCTGGGGGTGCTGTGTGTGAGTTGGCTGTGTGTTTCTGGGGGTGCAGTGTGTGTCTGGGGTGCTGTGTGTTTCTGGGGGTGCAGTGTGTGTCTGAGGTGCTGTGTGTGTGTGTGTGTGTGTGTCTGGGGGTGCTGTGTGTGAGTTGGCTGTGTGTGTCTGGGGTATGTGTGTGTGTCTGGGGGTGCTGTGTGTGTGTGTGTCTGGGGTGCTGTGTGTGTTTCTGGGGGTGCTGTGTGTGTGTCTGGGTGGTGCTGTGTGTGTGTGTGTGTCTGGGGGTGCTGTGTGTGTGTGTGTTGGCTGTGTGTGTCTGGGGGTGCTGTGTGTGTGTGTGTCTGGGGGTGCTGTTTGGGAATTAATTTTAAATATATATTTTTTTTTATTAATAATTTTTTTTTAAAGTTATGTTCCCCCCCCCTCCCTTCTTACCTTTAGCCTGGGAGGGGGAGGGAGCCGTTCTGCCTGGGACGGGGGAGCCTTGAGGGGGGACCATGCTGCATTCCCTGGTGGTCCAGTGGTGAGAGTGAACTCTAACCTGCAGGTTAGAGTTCACTCTCGCAAGATCTGAGCGTTGCCGCGGCAACGCTCAGAATCTCGCGAGAGGACCCAGTGGAGCTGCTTGTTAGAGCTCCGCCGGGTCCTCTCTCCTCCCTCCCTCACCCAGCTGGCGGCCGCATCTCCATGCCTCTGGGCCGGTGAGGGAGATCTTTGATCTCCCCACCGGCCCATGGAGACACACAGCAGGGCCGGCACTCGGATAGTGCTGGCCCTGCAGGGGCCGGCCGGGGAGATCCTGTGATCTCCCCTGCCGGCCTCGGCCCCACGACCATCGCGGCCCACCGGGCATTTGCCCGGTATGCCCGATGGCCAGTCCGGGCCTGCCCTACACTGTCACACTGCCCTCTCCACCACACTATCACTGCCCCTACACTGTCACACTGCCCCTTCCCCACACTGTCACACTGTCCCCTTTAGTTTTCATCACTCTTTATTGTCATTTTATGGCTTTGTAAAGGCCCTGATGTCATAGCATAGGTAGCATTCCTTTAATGCATGCTGAAAACTTGGGTCAGTGAGCACTTTGTCCATTAGGACAAAATCCAGGGTTTAGAATAACCCTGCTAGTGCCAAAACTGCAGTCAATGGATAGTTTCTGGTCCGATAAAAAAAATAAAAGAGCTATGTTTAAAACAATGCTAGGGGTATCTGCAGAACTGCAATATGAAGTGTAAAACACAGTGCTCATTTGCTTGTCAAGCTGAGAACTATTGTATAGGGCTTTCCAAGAAGTTTCCATCAAAGTCCAACTTGAGATATGCAGGTAATGCATAACAGTAATGGATATACATAGCACAGTGGTAATGTCCCTGACTTGAACTGGGAACAACGGTCTGACCACCGCACCAGTAAGTGTCTCTGGGCAAGATATCTAACGATATATAACCTGCACACCTCAATAATAACTGGAATTAAACGGACTACAGAAGAAATTCCCATACCCACATTCTTAGAAACTAGAAAAACTAACAGTCGTTCACCAATGGAACAGACTACCAAAGATCACTGGAAAGCTAGACAGCAGACAGTTAATGAAGCATTGTCCACAATCCCAACCTGCACCATCACAGAGGCCACACAATAGTGATCCTCCAGCTACTTGACTTCAAAATCAGATTCAAAGAGAAGCAATGCCTACCATGGAGACTACGTAGTAATGAAAAAGATCTCAGGCACTCGCTGTACTTGGTTCCAGGTTCCAGGCAGATTTATTACAACGTCTTTATCACCACAGTCATAGGCATGCGCACAGGGTGTGCCTAGGCACACCATTATCCCCACGGCACGCGCCATGTGCCTCCCTCCGTGGGCAGGTGAGGATCAGCCCACAGGCAGGTTGGGAGGTAGGAGAGGACCCGGGGAGCTCTTGCCAGCAGCTCCGCCCGGTTCCTTTCGCGAGGTAGGAGTTACCGCGGCAACGCTCAGAACTCGCGAGAGTGAACTCTAGCCCCCTGTGGCACACACTAACATCACCCTTACACACACAGCACCCTTACACTTACACACACTAACAGCACCCTCACACACACCGCACCCTTACACACACAGCACACACTAACAGCACCCTCACCCACACACACAAAGCACACACTAACATCACCCTTACACACACAGCACCCTCACACACACACACACACACACACACTAACATCACCCTTACACATACACACACAGCACACACTAATAGCACCCTTACACACACAGCGCCCTTACACACACAGCGCCTGCACACACACAGTGCCTGCACACACAGCACCTACACACAACACCCTCACAGACACACACATCAGTGTGTGTGTGTGTGTGTGTGTGTGTGTGTATGTATGTGTATATATATATATATTTTTATATATATATATATATAAATATATATATATACGCCACGTGTGTGTTTCTGCTTTAGGGTGCACACCCTTATACAATAGGCTGTGCACGCCTATGAACACAGTGACACAATTGTATTTATATACACACATCATACAAACAAATAACCATTGTTTAAAAACCAATTTCATTAGATAAACATATGTTTAAAATAATTAAATCAATAAATCAAAGTATTGTATCAGAGCCACAAAAGACATGGAAAAAAATGAACAAGTAAAAGGCTGAGAAAAAGAATAAAAGAAGACAAAAGAAATCCAGATTATATACAAGACTGCATCCACATTAATAAACACATATCTTTTTTCAATAAAGGAATCAACTAATCTTAATAATATAATTGAATGAAAATACCTGAGGTTGAAAAAGAGCGTGAAGAAAACGGGCCGCCTACTGTGCGGACCCGTGTGTGGTTACGTCATTCTGGCAAAGGTGGATAAAGTACGGTGGCCGCAAAGGGTAAAAAAAGAACTTACACCCTGAGCGCATGCACAGCTCTAGCAGTGAACTAAGGCGCATGTCTCAGGTACGGGCGGCGCACAGTAATGTGCTTCAGTCCGTAACCGAAAGACATTGACTCACCTCTAGGCTAAACGAGCAGACTAAGCCATAAAAAGGATAACTAGGAAAAATGAATAATATAGTAAAAGATCTGGCAAGCAAGCAAGCAGAAGATCAAAGGGAAAAAAAAGGGAAATAAATAAATAAAATTATTATCATAATTATTTTAAACTTTTTTTATGAATGGTGAGCTACTGATTGCCTTAGAGTGCCATCTGACCACTCTAGCCTATCAGCGACACCCCTACCCAGCAGCACTCTGTGCTTCCTGCCTCTCAGTAAATAAAAGTGAACACATTAATACTAATATGTTTTTTTTTTTTTTATTCTTTATTTTTGGTATGCAAGTAGGTACAACATTACCTGTATCACCACAACAGCGTTAGCAGGCTCACTAGTCATAGTTATAACAGTTGTGTGGCATGTTAAGTTTACATACATTTTTAAAATAAAATAAGTAGAGGTAGAGTAAACAAACTATTATCAATATAGTTTTGAGTTAAACAACAAATTTTGTTTCTTTCTAGGCATTGATATAACATTCCTAGGTACCCACATGTTTAAAAGATATGTTGAGTGGGTTGGCAGTTGTTTTTAGAGCTAGAACAATAACATTATGATATTAAGGTTAGGTTGTCACTATGAAACAGGTTAGCAAGTTTTAGTTAAGACATTTTTAGTCTATTGACGACACTTATACTGTAGGTATCCATATCGAGGGAAGCTTACCATGAGTAGTTTGTACGAAGTTCTGATATATATGTGGACTAGTTAAAACACAAAGATTAATCAGTAAGTTAGCTTCGGTTAAATAACTGAGGGGAGCTAGATAGATGAGTAAATGCAATCTGCCGAGATACGAGTAGGCATAAAATTAACTGTGAAATATTGCCTGCTTTGGTGCCGGCGAACTGGGTATGACTGTAATTCCTGAGGGGGGCATAGGTACCTTGCTCGAGGGCACATAGCACTGTCAGCCAGTGCCTCGGCTCGGCATAGCCATATCGCCTCTGGGGGGTCCCGTATATAAGGCTTAAGTCTGATTAATTTTGGATCTAGTAACAATAAAGGCTTTAAGGAAACATACGTTCAGAAGAAAAGTATAAGTTGAAACTTCGGGCAGCCTTTTTATCTTTGCGCCTTTTAAAAGGTGTATGACTTGCGTGTTACGCTTAAACGGATTAACTATAAACAGGTTAAACATGACAGACTGCCTTAGGGTATCACTGGTTAGTGGATGTCTAAACACCTGTGGCAGCTGGAGGGGCTAGGTAGCATGTCATAGTAAGAAATACAAGTTTGAAATCATATTTACACTATATCACAAGTATGTTAAATTTTAACCCGCTGCATCAGGATTAACGAAACCAGTGTAGTAAGAGTTGAGTGGTGATGTCCCCGGGAATGGGAATCTTGTGAGTGGCTGGCAGAAAACATAGAGCGTACAATGCTCTCGAGAATATGGGTAAAGATGTCCCAGAGTAATATATAGTGCCCATGTTATTTTTCTGTGGTGGGCCCTTTAGAGTCCGTAGTGGTCGAGAGTAGGGCAAAGCTGTAGTCATCGGTATCTTGGAGTTAGCGTTAGCCGCTATGTTACTGGTAAGGTAAGTCGGATTGTTGGTCGGGTAGCTGTGGGGTACTGTGGACGGTCCCGTTTACTTCGTATTTATTACCATCCCAGTGTCTGGTGTTGTGTCGGGTGCCCCCGGAGCATGTGTGGTGTCGCTCCTAGGATGTGACCGCTGCGTAGGTAATCGGCGTGGAGTCTCGGGGAGTGAATGATGTGGCCTTGCCCAGTGTCCTGGTATGGGTTGAAGGAGTATCGTTGGTTAACTCCGCCTGGGTGAGGGATTCAAGTGGCAGGCCCAGAGTCTGCAGTAAGGCCCGTGCTTCTTGCATGTCCTGGATGATATGCGTAGTCATCCCTTGTTTCACCGTTAGTGCCCTTGGGGATCGCCAGCGATACTCGATGTTGTGGGACTGGAGCACGGCGGTGATCGTCTTGAGTGACCTACGCCAGGCCAGGGTGCCTCCAGATAGGTCCGGGTAGAACGTCAGGTTCATGGCCTCAAAGCGGAGGGGGGTTCTTCCCCGTAGGGCTGCAAGAATTGTTGCTTTTTCTTTTCGTTTGCGGAGAGTGATTATCACATCTCTTGAGGCTGTGGCTGGAGCATTCGCAGGTTTAGGGACCCTAAAGACCTCCTCTGGGGCAGCTATTATGGTTTGACTGTTTGTCAGAATCACTGACAGTAAGCGTCCCATGACTTTTGGCAGATCAGCCTCCGATATTTCTTCAGGGACTCCCCTGATCTTGATATTATTTTGCCGCCTGGAGTCTTCCTGCGCTGCCATGCGACGTTCAAGTTGTTGGTTCTGTTGTTGCAGCTCCTGTATGGAGTGCTGCAGTGCAATTACGTCCTGGGCCTGGGCCTGTGAGGCTCCCTCCAGAGTGGAGATGCGGCCTGTCAGGCCTTGTATGTCCATGCGGAGCGCTGTGACATCCTCGTGGATGTGTTTCTGCAGGTCCGCTAGCAGTGTTTTGAGGACTGCTGTGGTAACTGGTTTAGAGTCTGTCCCGGCTCCCTGTTGTTGTACCTTTTGCTTGGGGTTGGGAGTCGGTGTGTAGTCTTCCTCCATGTCGTCGGATAATTCCTCGGAGAAGTCCGAGCATCCGCCATGCAGCGCAGCCATGTTTGACTCGCAGTTGTGACTTCGTTTAGGGCACGGAGCTAGTCTCTCTTGCGACCGTTCCCTTCGGCGTTCAGGCTCCGCCTCCACTAATATGTTTTTTTACCTGGGGAGATGAGAAGGTCCAAAGTTTCCCCGCCAGGCCCAGGTACCAAAGTCTTATGATGGGGTGTCCATAATAAAGTCGAGGGTTCACTTCACTTGTCCTTCCTGCTCCAATCTCATTTTCTTCTCCTTCATTTGACACAGTTTTCTTTTTCTTCTGACACAGTCTTCTCTCCTCCTTGGCACCTTCTGCTCCTTTACCTTTCTGCTACTTTCTGCCTATTTTGCACCCTTTTGCTCCTTTCTCTATATGATCCCTTTCTGCTCCTTGCAGACCCTTTCTTCTCCTTGCAGACCATTTCTGATCCTTGCTGCGCCTTCCTGCTTTTTGCAGACCCTTCCTGCTCCTTGATTCCTCTTTCTGCGTCCCCCTGCTTCTTGCAGACCCTTCCTGCTCCTTGCTGCTCATTTCTGTTCCTTTTCCTACTTTACCTTTGTGCTCCTTCTGCCCCTTCCAGATAATTGTTGACCCTTTCTGCTCATTGATACTCATTGCAGACCCTTCCTCCTTCTTGCTGCCCCTTCCTGCTTCTTGCTGCCCCCTCCTGCTTCTTTGTGCCCCTTCCAGCTTCTTGCAGCTCCTTGTAGACCCTTTCTCTTCCTTCTCCTACTTTACCTTTGTGCTTCTTCTGATAATTTCTGCCGCCCTTCCCGCTCCTTGCTGCCTCTTCCTGCTCCTTTCAAACCTTTCCTACCCCTTCCAGCTTCTTGCTGCCCCTTCCTGCTCCTTCCTTTTCCTTGCTGACCCCTCCTGCCCCTTGCAGAACCTTTCTGCTCATGTCTGCTCCTTCTACTTTACCTTCCTGTAGGCTGTCTCCCCCCAGGCCTCACTTACCTGATCTGTAGGCTGCCCCCCCATCCCTCACTTACCTGATCTGAAGTCTGCCCCCTACCCTCCATGCCTCACTTAACTGATCTGTAGGCTGTCTCTGCAGGCTGTGAGTTGCTGGCTGCAATCTGTGCTGCTCCCCTGCGGATTCAGTAAGGAGAAAGAAGCAGGAATAAGCTGTAGCTTCCTATCCCTGCCTTTCTCCATTCACACCACCACCTACTGGCTAGCGCCGGTATTGCAGTGTATTCTCATACTAAAACGAAAAATAGCAGCACAAGCTAAAAATTCTCCCCTCTGCAGACACCCATGACTGCATGGTAAATGGGACAATACCCAGATACTTTAACATCAGGAAGAAGGAACATGAGAAGGTGGAGAAATACCAAAGACTGAAGAAGAACTAGAAAGGATGTGGAAAGTGAAAGCAGTAGTAGTCCCATTTGTAAAAGGAGCACTTGGGGCTGTGACTCCCAAGTTGGGGGAGTGGCTTCAACAGATTCCAGGAGGGTTGATGATATGATTAGGGGTTATTTGACTGTTTATGTATTGTAATTTGGTGTGAGGAAGGAGTTATAATAGTGTATGATGTTAACAAAGAAATAATTATAAGCCCGAGTCCAGCGGCACATATATCTATTGTGAGTGTGCAGATACATGATTACTGCACTTTTTCCCTCAGCCAAAATGCTTATCACGGTACTTTTTTTTCTACATTACTATTTCCTGGATGACACTACGAGGTAGGAAGGCATTAAAGCTCATAACCCAAGCATTGCAACAAGCAGACATCAAATACCGATGGGGATACCCATTTTCCCTCATTGCCAGTCATCAAGGCAAACAGGCTATGATCACTCCAGTAGCTGGCCTGGACATCATGGATATGATATTACAGAGACTGTACAGTCAACATCTTTGCCTCAACATCACATATAGAAGCAGACAGAGGGGAAAAGTATCTGTGTGTCAGTGTTTGTGTCACTCTGTGTATCTGAGTGTGTGTATGTGCCAATGCGTATCTGTATGTTTGTGTCACTGTGTGTATCTGTGGGTCACTGTGTGTATCTCAGTGTCAGTGTGCGTATCTTTCAGTGTATCTGTGTGTTGGTGCGTGTGTGTATGTATATGTGTGTTGGTGGGTGAATCTGTGTTTTAGTGTATGTGTGTGCCAGTGTGTATCTGTGTGTCAGTGTGCATGTGTCAGTGTGTGTATCTGAGTGTGTCTTATCTGTGTGTCAGTGTGTGTATCTTTCAGTGTGTGTGTGTGTGTGTGTGTATCTGTGTGTCAGTGTTATGGTGTGCATATGTCACTGTGTGTATCTGAGTGTGTGTATATGTCTGTATAAATGTGTGTATCTGCACCAGTGTGTGTATCTGTGTGTCACGATGTCTTCATGTGTCAGTGTGTATCTTTGTTTCTGTGCGTTTAAGAATGAGTGTATATGTTAAGAGTGTATCTCTGTGTTAATGTGTATGTATATCTGTGTAAGTATGAATGTGGCAGTGTATGTGCATACAACCCAGAAATCAAACACCAACACTGCATGCAAACACAAACATTACATACAAAAACACGCCTGAATTCAAACTCCAAAAATATATACAAACACACCCTTCATTCAAACACCAATACTACACATATGCATTTAAAAGCCAACACTACATCCAAACACACCACTACACGCAAATGCAAACATTACATACAAACACCAACTTTACACACAAAAGCTCACCTGCTCCTAAGCACTAGAATATGTTTACTATCTGTAAAAATAATTGTATATATACCAAAAAAACTAAATTTGTGGGGGGAAAACATTACACTCTGCTAATTAAATGGTTTGTGTTACAGCACAACTTTTTTTGGGTGGGTTCCATGATGTTGGTACACTATGTTAAAGGGTTCCACTGGAAAAATCAATTGGGAACCCCTGCTCTAGTGTACAAAACAGTCTAAAGTCAAGCACAGTAAATAAATGTGTGATGACAACTTGATAGGCTGGGATTAATCTATACTGAACTACACGTCCAAAAATACATCACAACATTCTGCTGGCAATTTGAAAAATAAAAATGTGTGATCAGGATGTGTCCAAAAAAAGTGGATGAGTTTGTATGAAATCCATATCCTTCCTGTCTCTATGGAACAGTAGATAAGCTCAAATTTGCATCTGTTGATTCACAACTCATCTTATTCAAAAGGTTTCTAGTTTTTGCTGAACATCATAATAAAAACCTCTGTACAAAACAAAGGTAAGTGTCAAGGGGAGATATGAAAATAGGTCAGGACAGGAATATTTTAACTCATGTGTGGGTTTATGAACATTGCTATATTTCCTACATATAGATGCAAAATGGAAATGATATTAAAAAGTAGATTCTTTATGCATAATTATGTAATTTATAATGTTTAAACATACATTTGTCCTATTTTATTACACACATTTACATTTCAAATAGTTTTTTTTTATCTGTTATGATACAAAAATAGAAGAGGTTCAGTGGGATGCCAACAAGAAAATTGAATTTAATATTTAAGGCCAAGAAATTCAAAATGAAAAAAAGAGTAGAATTAGAGGATTTTTCTAATATTGCTATTTTTGGGTCACTTTTGGAATTCACTTTGACTTCCCAGCAATTCTTACTTGAATATCCTTTATATTTTTTTTTTTACTATATACCATATAATCACCATTAATTACATATTTAATTAATATTTCCTATTTTATTTTCTATAGTTGATTAATTCATTAGTCAGTATAACAGGGATTTTCACAGAGTATAAATATAAAGAACTAATATTAATACATGAGTAATTACACCACCACATTTTTTTTAAAATCAAATTAAATCATGGACATATGTTAAATATCAGTTTTATAAAACACTTTCTTATAGTGAATGGTTCATTTATAATAAGTGAGGGCAAGGTTAATAAATCATGTTTTTAAATTCTAAATAAATTTAGTTATTTACCAAAGAATTGCTTGATATTTAAAGCACTGTAAATTTGAAATTTAAAGGCAAAATAACTTAACTAGAAAAAAAAAAAAGTCAGCTATGCTTTCATTTTGGCTACTTTGGCCATACATATCAAATTAACTTTGAATGCCTTCCTAAATGTCCTTAATTCTCAGATTAGTTAAAAACCCTGTTAATATTGGACTTAACAAAAAAAAAATATACACACACACACGCACACACACACGTATGTTACTGGTACTTTATTTTAACCTCTTATTAAGCTTATTGCTTCAATATAAGTAATATTTAGCTTATTTTAGGTCAGCTGCTTTAATGTCAAACCATTATTCTTCATCAAGATTCATTCTTTGTACAGCAATGTTAATTGTGGCGGCAAATTTCAATTTAGGTTTTGTCGTAGTCTTTTGAGTGAAAGTCATTTTAGTTTTAGTCATATTTTAGTCATCTGAATTGTTTTAGCTTTAGTCTATTTTTAGTCGACTAAATCTCCAGTAGATTTTAGTCACCACAACTAAAAACGGGTTTAGTTAAAGAGACTGTCTCTTTTGCCCCTTCCCCAGCCATTCTTTAAAAATCCTCTGGTATACTGATGAATCCAGTATTTAAAGTGAAAAAGTTTATAGAGCAACAATGATTCTGACTTGAGTAGACATCGCACCAAAACTAAGTGACCAGGTAAACAGTGCATTAGACAGAAAAGCAACCAATAAGCTTATGGTAAAGGAGCAGGGAAGATCTGTTGTTGGCAATGGAGAAATCATTAATGGAACAACTGTAACCTGGATGCTCCTTCAAGTTAGATTTCATAGTTGGATTTCAAGGAAGCATTGTGAAAAGTAAGCCATTGTTGCATAAAAACAAACCCGTATGAAATCGGATTAGGTGTTTGAAAAGAGGCAAAACAAATATATGGCAATAGATTATTTGGCCTTATGAGACCAAACCAACTATGTGGCAACATGACACATAACCCCAGGGGCATATGTGGAAGGTGGGTCATTTGGGCCCCCTGGGCAAAGTTAGGCCCTGGTCCCTTTAAAGTCCAAAATGTATGTATTAAACATAACTTTATGAATGCATGTTTGCAGTTGAAGATGTAAAATCAGTGTGAATGGACTTATGTCCATTTGTAGAATGTAATTGTGTGCATATTCAATGGCATATTTGAGTGCAGTGTGTAAAATGAGGTATACATCCTGTCTACTGCAAGAATGTTAATCCAGTCCGATGTTTATATGTATGTTTGGAAAGGTGGGAGTTTAAATGTTAAGTGGTCAGAAGACAAGAGATGGGTATGAACCCAATGAAAATTTTGGAGATAGCTACTGTGCAAATGTATAAAACTTCACTTTTATTTTGTTGGTTCAAAAGAATTAGTGTAAGTCACGGACACAGTTAGGTGTCTAAAATATATCCAATGGTGTCCATTATATGGAAAAAGTAAAGAAAAGAAAATATAAACCCATGTACTTACAAGGATACAGATATTTACAAAAGGCTAAGTGAAAGATAGCAAAGGAAAAATAAATATATACACAGAAAGGAATATATACAATGAATTGGTTCAGACAGAGACATATGCAGCTGTATCTCTGTGTCTATATCGAGAGGACGGAACGCTGAACCTCTCTGGTGTAGATTCTTGCTAGGGATACAGGATACAAGACACTATGTTTTTTTTGTGTAAATAGATATAATTCTATGCAGAAGAAGCTGTTTGCATAAATTAAGGTGCTTAATGGTGTGTGTATTAGTGTGGAGAACATGTGTATGAATCCATGGATAGAGTGTTTGTGAGTGCATTTTAACAGTGTCAGTGTGTGTCAGTGTAGTACTGTGTCAATATGAGTATAAATGTTAGTATGCGTATGAATGCCTTTGTGTATGTGTGTAAATTTTCAGTGTGCGCAAACACAGGAGCAGTGTGTCACCAAGACTGCAAAGTTGTGTTTGCATGCACTTTTGTATATTGAACGTGACTTTTGTTATATCTATATATCTCCCCTAATGTGTAATCTGTCTACTTAGAGAATCTGTCTACTGCATAAAATGAAATGAAATTTGAAAAACATTTGTTAGCTACTGAAATTCAGACACCCATTATTCCTGTATAGCAGATAATATGGTATTCTTAAATATGGCAATCTCACATAAGGCTTCCAAGCTATTTACTTAACAGCAGAAAGACCAAACTTAAAGGACCACTATAGGCACCCAGACCACTTCAGCTCAATTAAGTGGTCTGGGTGCCCAGGATTTAACCCTGCAGCTGTAAGGGTTAATGAGGGTTAATCCAGCCTCTAGTGGCTGTCTCACAGTGAGAAGACGCTGACGTCCATAGGAAAGCCCATGCTTTCCTATGGTCGGTTTGAATGAGCGGCAGCTCTTGCCGTGCATGCGCATTCGGCACTGTCGTCGGCAGGAGGAGGAGAGTAAGGTAAGTGTTTTAACTTCTTTAGCCCCCTTCAGCCCAGCGGGAGAGGGGCTATGAGGGTGGGGGGGGACCTAAGTACTACATAGTGCCAGGAAAACGAGTTTGTTTTCCTGGCACTATAGTGGTTCTTTTACCACTGTCAGGATTACAATATGATCCAGCACGTAGAATTGTGTTAGACAGATGACACAAATGTCCAATGTAACGAACCGTCTGTCCTGTGGTTTACTGCAGTGCGCCTGAGACTGAGCCTCCATGATGGTGCCAAGCAGTGGGGAAGACAATGACAGGACAGTGTAAGCAATGATACATTCAGAGGGAATGATAGGGGATGTTTCCTGTTCCTGTATCAAATCAGTGTCAAACTGTCTAGATAAGGCATTGGCCTTGACATTTTTAGAACCAGGTCTATATGTTATAAGAAAATTAAAGCGAGAATGGAACAATGACCACCTTGCTTGTCTAGAAGATAATCGCTTAGCATCTCCTATTTAAGCCAGGTTTTTATGGTCTTTAATGATCAAAAGGGGGTCCTTGGAGCCCTCCAAAAGATGTCACCACTCCGTGATAGCTAGAATAATGGCCAAAAATTCTCAATTGCCAATATCATAGTTGCTACTTTCTAGAGAAGTAGCCACAAAGAAAGGAGTTTCTTGGCTCTCCCTCTGGGAGAGAACAGTCCCTACCCCTGTCTCAGAGGCATCAACCTCCAGTATGAAAGGTTTACTGGTGTCTGGATGTATCAATACGTCTGCAGAGGCAAACCTCTGAGAATTTCAAAAGCTTCTACAGCCTCCTTAGACCATATCATACTGCTAGCCCCCTTACGCGTCATGGCAAAGAGTTTTACTATCTAAAATGTTTGAAGGAACACTATAGTCACTAAATCAACTTTAGCTTAATGAAGCAGTTTTAATGTATAGATTATGTCCAGCAGTCTCCCTGCTCAATTCTCTGCCATATAGGAGTTAAATCACATTGTTTATAATGCCCAAGTCACTCCTGCATATGACTTGCACATCCTTCCTAAACACTTCATGTATAGAGTCATCTAATTCTTACACTTCCTTTATTGCAAATATTGTTTAACTTATAATGTATTATCTCTTGCTCTGTTAATAGCTTGCTAGACCCTGCAGGAGCTGTGTCAGTAACAGCCAAGGGAGGTGTGGCTAGGGCTGCATAAACAGAAACAAAAGTGATTTAGCTCCTAATTGGCAGATAACTGAGCAGTGAGATTGCAGGGATTGTTCTATACACCAAAACTGCTTCATTAAGCTAAAGTTATTTTGGTTTCTATAGTGTCCCTTTAATTAAAAAAATAAAATATATATCAGGATTTTATTCTTAGATGAGAATCGTCTGGAATTCAAAGCGAGTTCAAAGAGAATTTCAAATTTAAGGCCAAAATAACACAACTAGAATAAATTCTCCAAATGAGCTATGCTTTCAGTTTGGGCCACTTTAACCTTAAAGGGACACTATAGTCACCTGAACAACTTTAGCTTAATGAAGCAGTTTTGGTGTATTGAACATGCCCTTGCAGTCTCACTGCTCAATCCTCTGCCATTTAGGAGTTAAATCCCTTTGTTTATGAATCCTAGTCACACCTCCCTGCATGTGACTTGCACAGCCTTCTATAAACACTTCCTGTAAAGAGAGCCCTATTTAGGCTTTCTTTATTGCAAGTTCTGTTTAATTAATATTTTCTTATCCCCTGCTATGTTAATAGCTTGCTAGACCCTGCAAGAGCCTCCTGAATGTGATTATAGTTAAATTTACAGAGAAAGAGATACAATTGTTTAAGGTAAATTACATCTGTTTGAAAGTGAAACCAGTTTTTTTTTTTTCATGCAGGATCTGTCAATCATAGCCAGGAGAAGTGGGGCTAGGGCTGCATAAACAGAAACAAAGTGATTTAACTCCTAAATGACAGTGAAGTGAGCAGTGAAATTGCAGGGGAATGATCTATACACTAAAACTGCTTTATTTAGCTAAAGTAATTTAGGTGACTATAGTTCCTTTAAATGTGACATTCACTTTGAACTCCTGGCATGTCTCACTTTATTAACCCCTTAAGGACACATGGCATGTGTGACATGTCATGATTCCCTTTTATTCCAGTAGTTTGGTCCTTAAGGGGTTAAATAAACCTGTACATTTCTGATCTACAATAAGGAGTCACCTTACATAGTGGAATCAGTAGCAAAAATGTAAATAAATGTAATTTTGAAAAGAACCATTAAACTTTAATTACTCTTTTTTTCCCCCAGCTCCATCATGACAGAAGCAAATATCTTCATTATTCAGAGTTTCATTCTGCTCGCTTTACTTTGCAAATGTGGTGCTGAATTTTGCCCTCATCCTTGTGTTTGTAAATCCATAGAACGAAAAGGAATCATCTTGAATTGCAGTTCTTCAAAACTAAATGCTATTCCTGAAATTCCTGCCAACACCATCAAACTTTATCTACAGAACAGTAGCCTGACCTCTGTTCCTGCTGGGTCATTTGACCACTTAAGGCATCTGCAGGAAGTGGATCTCTCTGGCAATCCTTGGAATTGTGACTGTAATATATTTTATGTCAAAATCTGGCTTGAGTCCCAAAATGTTATAAACATGTTGAATGTGAGATGTGTAACACCAGCCACACTATCAGGTTTACCTTTTCAGAACCTTTCTGGAAATGAAATTCAAGGCTGTCACACAAGGTGGTCGATTGAATGTGAAAAGTTTTTTGTTAGGGATCTTTATCTGATTGGTTTTGCAGTGTTGCTACTGATTATGATGTCCTATGTGTTCAGGATGGCCAAAGGACTTGCCTGTCGCGTTACAGTGAGCACGTCACAAGGAAAGCATTATAAAGCTTGCACAAAAGACAGTCACAAGTCAAAATAGTAGAACATAGAATGACCCCCAACTAACACATTGGGCTATATTTATTATGACAACAGTAGGATATTTCTTAAAGCAGCTCTGATACTTTGCAGGTCTTGATTTTAAATTAGTCAATCATTTTTGTCCCCCTTTTGTCATTTTTTGAAATTCAGTGTTTTTTAGTTATACATATAAAAAGTAGGGACTTCATTTTCTAATGGGGTGTGTGATCATTGGTAAATGTTGGCAATTCTCACAAGAATAATAACATCTATTTCTCTCTTTACCATCACAAAATAATAGCTAACAATGATATATAAAGTAACAGTTAAAATTATATTCTCAAACGGGACAAAAATTTTGTTTTGTAATTTGAAGTTAATTGGTATTGTTTTCTTGTTAAATGTATATTATATATAATTGCAATTATACATATTGTTTGATAATTTTACCATGGTTTTTCCTTTTTTTTTTTTACCAATGGTAAAAGTCAGGCAAGTTGGATGTTAATAGTCTTTTTTGTTCTTATGTGTCTTCATGATCTACCCTTTAAATATATAGTAGCAGTTTGTCTTTGAAGTTTTAATATTAAACGTGTGTAATTGTATTACAGAAACTTGTTTGATTTTTGTGAGTTTATTTTTTTACTTCTTTTTTTCTTGTTGTGATATATTTGTGTCTATTTTAAACATGCACCTGACTCATGGACTACTCTGGCATTCGTTAACTAGATCAGGGGTAGGCCACATTTTAGTAGTACTGTGTCCTTTGGAGTGCCAGTCCTATTTTTTTTTTAATTGAGGTGTGCATATTCCGCTTGTGTTATTTATGGGTGCTGCAGTTGATTTGTAGCATTGTATTTGTGCGTATGTGGGCTGTTATCTTGTATATGTTCATGAGGAGTTTTTTGTAATTGTGTATGATACTTATGAATGTTGGCTGTGCATGGAGGCTGCTTGTGAAATTGTGTGTGTCGATATGTCACATTGTGTGTTTTGTGAGGATATTTATGGGGATTAATTATTAATGAATTTTCATTAAAGGACCACTCTAGGCACCCAGACCACTTCAGCTTAATGAAGTGGTCTGGGTGCCAGGTCCTTCTAGGGTTAACCAATTGTTTTATAAATGAATGGGTTAAGCCTTCCCCCAAAGCCTCTAGCGGCTGTCTCATTCACAGCCGCTAGAGGCGCTTGCGTGCTCTCACTGTGAAAATCACAGTGAGAGCACGCAAGCGTCCATAGGAAAGCATTATGAATACTTTCCTATGCGACCGGCTGAATGCGCACGCAGCTCTTGCTGCGCGTGCGCATTCAGCCGACGGGGAGGATCGAAGGAGGAGAGCAGGAGGAGAGCTCCCCGCCCAGCGCTGGAAAAAGGTAAGTTTTTACCCCCTTCCAGAGCAGGACGGGAGGGGGACCCTGAGGGTGGGGGCACCCTCAGGGCACTATAGTGCCAGGAAAACGAGTATGTTTTCCTGGCACTATAGTGGTCCTTTAATGAAAAATATTTTCATAAAAATTATTCAAATTAATAATCTTTATTAAAATATCAAGGGTTGATATTTTATTGGCGCTATACTCAATTATAATTAAAAGCGAAGAGTTACTCACTATTTGAACTCTTTACACCTGGAGTACGTTGTTCGAATTTAATATTTTATACATTAATATCACAATTTTTTATATTTTTTTTGTATGTTTTTCCTTTTTCTTTAGCGGTTAATGTGCTCGATTCCACACAGAGCATTGGTGGAATCATACACGAAAGCTTTTCCTTCACTTTGGAAGTTATTGTCTTTGAATTTTACACAGTCATTCAAAAATGGTATCGTAAACCAATCTGGTACCCACGGTTTGAAAGCCAAGACATTAGGGGTTTGAACATTAACATGGATATCTTCCTTCCATGTATCAACATTATAAATTGCTTTCATTTGAAAAATGTTTCAGGGTGTGACATATGGAATGGTCAATAAAAAGCAAATCTCCCTGCGTTTAGGGTCAATTAAGAGAGGGAAAGCGCTCCCCATCTCCCCAAATTTAATTGCAAGGGTTCGATTGTTTCCCCATCCACATTAGCAAACATTACATGAATTATATCCTTGGATGCAAAATACAGAGGTATGCGTCCCCTTGACATGAATTGGGATAGAGTGACTAGTACTTCAGCAAGGGGAATCCGGTTTTTGAATGTGTTAAATGACACCTTTATGTCACAACTGGTACAAGCACCAAATAGAAAGGATGCTTGTCTGGATCTTGTTATAACAAACAATGTTGAACTTTTGAATAACATTCTAGTAGTGGAGCATTTGGGAAATAGTGATCACAATATGGTAACTTTTGAAATAAACTCAAAAAAGCTAAAGCATGTGGGGTATACTAAAACGTACAATTTAAAAAAAGCCAATTTCAATAAGATTAGGGCAGCTCTACAACATATCGACTGGCATAAACTCCTTAGTGAAAAAAACACTGGGGATAAACAAATATTAGAAAGGTACATTTCTCAATATGTACCATTGGGTAATAAATATAAAATAAACAAATTGAAACCAATGTGTCTTAGTAGAGAAGTAAAACAAGAGATTAAAAATATGAAAAGGGCATTTAAAGTATTTAAATCGGACAAATCAGAGGCATCCTATATAAGATATAAGGAAGCCAATAATGCTTGGAAAAAGGCAATTAAAGTGGCTAAACGAGAAAATTAGAAATTGATAGCCAAAGAATGCAAAACCAATCCCAAATTTTTTTTCAAAATTAAAGTGTAGGTGCACTGGAAACAGAGAATGATCTGTTAGCTAATAAGGACCATGAAAAGGCAGAAAAAAACTATTTTTCTTCAGTATATATTAGTAAGGATCCTATGGCAAGAGATATGCAAATAATTGCTGCAGAAAACTTGCAGATAACTTGTGATTGGATAGCTCGAGACAAGGTGCTACAGCTGTTAAAGAAAATTAATGTAAATAAAGCTCCAGGGCCTGACAGTATTCACCCACGAGTACTTAAGGAGCTAAGTGGGGAAATAAGTGAACCTCTGTATATAATCTTTCAAGATGGTAAGTGGTGTCCCTCAGGGTTCTGGTTTGGGGCCGTTTCTATTTAACATATTTATAAATTATCTTGAAATAGGCATTGAAAGCCATGTTTCAGTGTTTGCAGATAACACAACACTTTGTAAAGTAATAAAATCTGAGCAGGGTATTGGTTTGCTGCAGAGGAATTTGGATAGATTGGGGGGGCTGGGCACTAAAATGGCAGATTAAATTTAACGTAGAGAAATGCTAAGTTATGCACTTCGGGAATTGGGAATTGTTATAGACAACAAATTAGGCAGCAATTTGCAATATCAATCTGCAGTTGCTAAGGCCATTAAGGTTTTGTCATGTATAAATAGGGGCATAAATTCTCGATTTGAAAATATAATTTTGCCTCCTTATAAATCGCTGGTAAGACCACACCTTGAATATGCTGTGCAGTTTTGGGCACCTGTTCTAAAAAAGGATATCATGGCACTAGAAAAAGTGCAGAGACGAGCTACAAAATTGATAAAAGGAATGGAGCATTTTAGTAATGAAGAAAGATTAAAATATTTAAATCTCTTTAGTTTGGAAAAACGGTGCCTCTGAGGGGATATGATAACATTATACAAATATATTTGGGACCAGTAAAAACCATTATCTGGAAATCTATTCACAAACAGGGCTATACATAGGACATGAGGTCACATATTTAGGCTGGAAGAAAGGAGATTTCATCTAAGGCAAAGAAATTTTTTTTTTTTACAGTAAGAGCAATAAGGATATGGAATTCTCTGCCTGAAGAGGTGGTTTTATCAGAGTCCATACAGATGTTTAAACTGCAATTGGATAAATACTTGCAAAAACATATCAGACAGGGATATAATTTCTAATTAGTGGGGCAATAGCTGCTTAATCCAAGGAGACATCTGACTACTATTTTGGGGTCAAGAAGGAATTTGTTTCTAGTTTGTTGCAAAATTGGAAGTGCTTCAGATTAGGTTTTTTGCCTTCTTTTGGATCAACAGCAAAAACATATGTGAGGAAGGCTGAACTTGATGGACACAAGTCTCTTTTCAGCTATGTAACTATGTAATGGAACAATCATATGATCTATGTGGAGGTAGAACATTAGTTTGACTTTTATTAAACACTTCCCTAACTTCCCAATACTGCATGGGTATTTCGGGGGTAGTGGGTGTAATAGTATGTAAAGTAACGATCCCCACTCCTTTAGTAATAGGTGACGAAGGGGAAGCGATTATCTGAAATGTAAGGAATTCTTTATGCAATGCTCCTATAATGATACAAATAGGCAAGGTCTCATGGGTAGTGATGTGACGAACATAAAATTTTTGGTTCGCGAACGGCGAACGCGAACTTCCGCATATGTTCGCGAACGGGCGAACTGCCATAGACTTCAATAGGCAGGCGAATTTCTAAACCCACAGGGACTCTTTCTGGCCACAATAGCGATGGAAAAGTTGTTTCAAGGGGACTAACACCTGGACTGTGGCATGCCGGAGGGGGATCCATGACAAAACTCCCATGGAAAATTACATAGTTGATGCAGAGTCTGGTTTTAATCCATAAAGGGCATAAATCACCTAACATTACTAAATTGTTTGGAATAACATGCTTTAAAACATCAGGCATGATGTTGTATCGATCAGGTAGTGTAAGGGTTACGCCCACTTCACAGTGAGAGACCAAACTCCCCGTTTAACGCACCGCAAACAACCGCAAACAGTCCATTTGCACAACCGCAAACTCCCCATTTGCACAAGGTTGGATACCAAGCTGGCCATGTCCCGTTCCTTGTCCTCACTGATGTAATTGAAGGTCTCTTCCTCCATCCAGCCACGTCCAACACCAAGGGTCCCCAAAAGGTGACAACGAGCCCCCTGGGACGCCTGCTGTGTTTGGTCTTCCACCTCCTCAAAGCCACCTTCCTCCTATGACTCCTCTTCTTCAGACTCCTCTCTCTGCGTTGCCTCTCTCTGCGTTATTATAAGGTGTGTTAAGTAGTACTATTCCTATGAGTTTAATCCCTGTTACATCCCCTATCAGGGGACGTGTATATGGCATCGATTTTAGGAACCGGGAGATGGAAAAAGATGCTTGGTCGGTCCTCCTACTTCAAATTTGGGGCACTGTGCGTGCAATCTAATGTGCCACCAGATAGGAGTGGTGTGTTAAGTAGTACTATTCTTATCAGTTTAATCCCTGTTACGTCCCCTATCAAGGGACGTGTATATGGCATCGATTTTAGGAACCGGGAGATGGAAAAAGATGCTTGGTCGGTCCTCCTTCAAAATTGGGGCACTGCGCGTGCAATCGAATGTGCCTCCAGATAGGAGTGGTGTGTTAAGTAGTACTATTCTTATCAGTTTAATCCCAATGTCACGACTACCAGTGTTGTCCAGCACGCAGAAACTATGTAAACATATACATAGGCAAGAAAAGGAAAAGAAAAGGACAGAGTGTAAACCGGACCTTAGAATGGCCGGACTAATACGCTAGAGACAGAGAATGGT